CTTTTATAGATGAAGAATGGAGTTCTGCTTTAAAATCAGCGTTTATTTCCAAATTCAGAAAGAGATAATTATCATTTACTCTCCATTAGAAGCAAAATAATATATTACCATCGACAGCTTGCAAATAAATAATGAAATGGCAACAGAAGAAGAAATAATTCTTTTGATCACCTATTTATATATATATATTGAAATTAATTAATATTTTTTTTGATATATTATCAATTAGAATAAAATAAAAAAATTATCTTACCGAATTCTCTAATGGCAAAGGATCTTCAACACATCTTCTGAAAGCATTTGAAGTTAATTCTTGTAACATTGTATTTATTAATCTGATATATATAAATACATACAAAATTAATAGATGTAATGATAATAATAATAATAATAATAATAAGGGATAATTTATTCCTTGATTCATTCATTGTTATTACCTTTCATCATCAATAAATTTCCAAAATTTTATTCTAACAAATTCAGAATCAAGTTGAATTTGTTGAAATGATCGATTTGTCAATAATTGTAGTCTAATCATTTCCACCCATTCCTTCATAGCAAAAAAAATTGTTAATAGTTATGATAGAAATTGCCTTAAAATTTTTTTGCTCACCAAAAAAAAATTTTATAATTTACCTTTAATAAAATTTTAATTAATCCCATCATAACGCCATTCCTATTCATTTCCACAATACCAAATATTTCTATCCTATCACTAAATAATTTATCAATATGAGAAATCAAATGTATTGAACTATTATTAAAGGTATTATTTGGTGAAGTAGCTGCTGCTTTAAGACTATTGACATTGGTGTTGTTGTTGATTGAGTTGACTGAATTTTTTGATGAATTTGAATTGGAATAATATGAAGATTTCTTGATTGAATTTATACTTAAGAGATTTTGATCTATAAATTAATTTTTTTTTTAAAAAAACAAAAATGTTTAGAGGCAAAAAATCAATATTTTCTTTTTCCCCTTCCAACAAAAAAATTTTTTTATACCTTCCAAATTTTTATTTTCAATAATTTCTTCTATTCCTTCATCACCTTCACATACTATTTTAACATCTTTTTCAATGATTGATAAACTTG